TTGTAATATGGATGTGGTCCACAGATAGTAGTGGGCTTGAGGGCTCGTGTGCAGAACTGAATTGTGTCTGATTCATGCTCGATGGTTCGGGTGTATGAGGGGCGATTTTTTTAGAGTGACGGAGGAATGGAGAAATATTTTATGCCTTATGATATTGGTTTATGTCTACAGCTGATTTGGTAAGCGTAGACCAATAGAAGAAGAGCATAAAGCGCTTAGCAGCGTAGTGTAATAGTATGATAGAATATATGGCGAGAAAGATGTTGCGTCAGTGACCAGAGGGTCGGACGGCAGGCAGTGTCTAGCTTTAGAGTATATAGGTTAAGGTTGTGGGGATCAGTCCTCACAACCTTGTAAGCTATTACACTATTGTGATCCTATAAGGTATGTACGTTTTTTCACTTTAAACCGTTCGTGAACTAAATTAGTTACTCACAATCAAAGTATTAGCTGTACAAAGTGAGCTAGTGAAAAAGACATTTCAGCAACGATGGAATTTAAGAAATTCAGTGGGCATCGATGGGAGATTTTTACCCAGCACCGTACGGAGACGGTGGCGAAGGTAAAGGAGTTGAGGACCTTTGCTAATGTGAATGGAAAAGATGAGAAGTTGTTGGCCCGAGCCAGGTGCTTGATGGAAAACGCCTACGCCCAGCAGATTCAGAACAATGCATTGGTCATGCTGGTAGGCAGGGCTGGTCTGGATGTGACTAGGTACATGGGTCTGCCGTTTGAAGGTGTTGCTGAAATGGGAACGGTTGCGCCCTTAGGGGTGCTTAAGGCACCAGTGCAGATGAAGAGTTGGCATGAGCGATTCTTGCAACCTGTGCTAAGGATGTTGCTAGTAGGCTCACTGACAATGAAGACGGGTGTATTAGTAGGTCATGATACCATGGTGAAGGATGGCCTAAACTTGATGTTGAACAGCAGTAAGCGGTGAGCGCTAGTGCAGAATGGAGATCGGATGGACTTTTTGCTACACGAGGCAATGAGACCTTAGTTGGTATCGAGAGCAGAGTTGCCAAGGATGCAGGCGTTGGTCAAGCCGGAAACTGTGTTGACACCAAGACAAGGACGGCGGGTGATGGCGTTGGCCCCAAAGCGTCGTCCGTGGAAAGCTAAGGTAGATAGGAACGGTACGCAGACGAGGCTGTGACGTCAGATGAATATTATACATGTAACGGGTGCGTTAACTAGTGCGATGCAGAAGCAGTATGTGGCAGCAGCTACAGCGCACTTTCAGGTAATGAAGGAGCGTGTTGAGCGGATGCACAAGGAGGATGAGTTGGACCTGGTTGAGGAACATATTCTGCCGAGGATCCCAGACGTGTTGGCACCAGTGGATCTGCCAGTGGGTGACATAGACATAGACCCAGGTGGGTTGAATAAGGACTTTCAGTCGTTTGATGAAAGACCGTTGAGGGCGTTGGGCAAGGAGATTGGAGTGCCGCAGGCTGACATTGAAGCCATGGTGGTAGCCATAAAATCTATTGCATATGATAAAGAGAACCCGACGTTTGTGAACTTGCCAGATGTGGAGCTGCGGGTACGGGCTGATGCGGTGCCGCAGTACCATGTGTACAATCACAAGGACATAGATGCTCAGGAGGTCCTTGAGGTTAAGATTGGTGACTGGAATCGGGGTGGCATCTCGGAGAAGCCGACCAAGTCGGAGGTGAAAAATATAACATGGTGTGCTATGCCGTATTTGGTATATAAAAAGCCTGGCGTTGTTCCGTTGACTGCTGATGACTGGCGGCTGTTTATTCACTTTAAGAAGACTAACACGCAGTTTGAATGTGAGGTGTACCCGGTACCGACAGAGAGGCAATTTTTGTGTTTAGTTAGGGGCGCAAGTATCGGACTATTGTTGATCCTGGTCAGGGCTTCTGTCAGCAGAAGTTGAGTAATGAGTCGCAGCACTATACTACTTTTTGGACTCCGTGCGGGCCTCACTAGTTCATAGGGATGCCGTTTGGGTTGAAACCGGCCTCGTGGATCATGCAGAAGCGCATGGAGTTGGTTTTTGATGAAGTGCCTAATCATGAGGTGTACATTGGTGATAATGGTACAGGACATGATGATAGTCGTGAGCATTGGGATGCTCTAGTGATACTTGTGGCGACTTGTCAGAAGTATAATGTGAAGCTGTCGTTGGCCAAGTCCAGCTTTGCGTATCACAAGCAACCGTTTTTGGCTTTGGGCGGGATGTTTAATGAGAATGGTGCGTCGATCTCAGAGGATCGGTTGGAGGCGATTCTGCGGATGCCTAGACCGATGACGAAGGATCTGTTGAAATCATGGTTTCATACCCTCACGTTTTGGCATGAGTTTATACCGGATTATGCACGGATCACGGCGCCGCTGTCTGACATGTTGAAAGACGATGTTGCTTTTCAGTGGGGGCCGCTTCAGCAGACAGCGTTTGATGCTGTTTTGAAGGTTGTGGCTGAGCGTGCAGTCTTGATTGAGCCAGAGTTTTACGATAAGCTGTAACTCTATTGTGATGCTTGTGATTCTGTTGGTATGGCTGGGGGGTTGTTTGCTCGGCGCAATAATAAACTGTATCCGGTAGGATTCTGGTCTTCAAGTTCAGTGCGGCGCAGCTCAACTACCACATTACGGATAAGGAGGCCTAGCCATTATGTACGTGTTGCACAAGGCTTGGCGGATTGTTCGGCGATCGGTGCATGACTTGATGGTCTATACTGATCATGAGCCGTTAGTGGCTATGATGCAGAAAGAGCCGCACGAGTTTGAAGACTCGCTGCGAGGCAGGCGTATGGGTCGGTATGTTCAGGTCTTGCGGGACTTAAACTTGGTTTTGAAGTATATCCCGGATGAAGACAATCCGGTGGCGGATGTGATGTCCCGGCTAGGCTATCATATTGATCCGATTATACAAGTGGAGTCTCCGTTGTTCAAGAAGCGTGTGAGTTTTGCAGATCCCTTGATTACGATACCCGACACGGAGGAGTATTTGTTGGCACTCAAGTATTTTGACAAGGCGTTGCAGCGGGTTGGTCCCTTTGATGCTAAAGGGTTTGCGTTGCCGGGCAATAACTTGATGGTGCCGTATTACTCGCCCACTTTAGAAGGTAGGGTGTTCACGTTAGACACTTGGTTTGGGCGGAGTTGGTATATGAATGCTCCGTTCTCCAAGTTGGATGCTGTTGTCCAGAGGGTCAAGTCGGATAGGGCCACTGCGACGCTGGTAGTGCCGTATTATCCGGAGGCTGCTTGGTCTGAGCAGATGGTACCTATGTTGGCGGATACGCCGATTGTTATTCCGCCTGCGCATGGTGTGTTCTTGAAGCATGGGCGTGAACCGATGCCGCCGCCGCCGTTTGTGACGTTGATTTGCCATCTTAGTCCTCGTTGTGAGAAGTTCACTTTGGCTGAGGGGTTTTGGGCGAAGGTGGATGCGCATCGACCTGTGAGCAGTGCTTTGTTTGGAGCATTAACGACGCGGCCAGATGACCTGGAATCCTGTATGGTGCAGGATCCAGTGGCTCCGGTGGTGGTTGGTGTTGTTGAGAAGCCTGTCCGTTGTGGATATAACCCCAGGCTGGGGGGTTTTGCCTTAAAACCAGTTGAGCATGTGGTTGGTTCATGTACTTTCATGACGACCACTGTCATGCCTGGGGAGTTGGTGTTGGAGGAGTCCGTGAGTCGGGCTGAGCGCGAGTATGAGGCACATCAGGCACGTGTGGTTGCTGTCATGACTCGGGCGCAGCGGTTGCGGGCATCTGCTGCTGAGGCGGATGTGGCTGCTAGTGAGGAGCCACCGGTTGAGGAGCCGGCGTCGTTGTTGACCAGGGCTCGGGAGCAGTTGGCAGCACCTGAGGTGATTGTTTCCCCTGGGTTGCCGGTCTTTGGGCCGCGCACAGAGAGGGAGTTTCTCGAAGATGTGCGGTGTGGACTGTATGGTATTGAAGTGGGGGGTCCTGTTGTCATGCGTGCCTTGCGTTACACGCATGAGCTATTCTCTCATGTCACATCAGATCGCCTGATATATCTAGTGAAAGAGTTGTGGGGTTGGACTGGTTTACGTGCACAGTGTGAGCATGTTCGCTCGTATATGGTTGATGAGCTCAAGGCGCACGTTCAAGGCATTGATATGTTGCCGCCGGGCAGGCAGAAAGTGGTAATCTATCGTCCGCATGGGTTGTATGAACCCTGGCTGCTATACAGGTCTCCG